GAGGATTTCAAGGGCCTTAAACATAAATGGGTGTTGAACTTTGTCAAAAGACTTCTCCGCATCTATTGATATGATTATGTGGTTTTGCTGTAAGATTTTTTAAATTTGCTCTTCACTGTCTGGGAACATTTATATTTAGAACCCTGTTAAATGAGGTTGGAAAGTTAAGAGATTGCTCACACATGTACAAATAAGCAAATTGTAAGACTCAACATGTCTTGCATCCTCCATTATTTCCCCCACTGAGAAGCTGATTCTCCAGAAGTTATATATAGAAGGTTGTTAGTCTTGGATTCAGGGTGATGCAATACTAAGGTGTAGCCAATCTGCCAATTCTGTTGTCTATGATAACCCCTTTTTTTTTTTGAGGCCAACATGTTTAATCGGCTATGAGTTGTAGCCAAGGAATTTTTCATCTCAGACATTGTAATTTTATCTTTAGATAACCAATCTGGGTATCTGTTTTTGTATTTTCATCTCTCTAGTTAACAAGCTCAATAATTCCTCTACCTTCTTGAACATAACACATGTAGAGTAAGAAAATCAGAAAACAGAAGGTACAAGGAAGAAAATAAAAATCACATAGAATCTTAATCTGTTTGGTACATACCTTTTCAGATCTTTTTCAGATCTTTTGTGAATGTTCTATACAAATATGAAATACATTTTGACAATAAGGATGTGTTGTTTCAAGTACAACAGCTGACTATAAATTGTACACTAGCGATTGTTTCCTAAAATATGGCATTCAAATAGCCTTGTTGTGGGAGTAACATAGAGTAGAAGGTCCTCTTGATTTCCTTTAACATTCCTTGAGCCAGAGTCCCTGAATCCTGAAGAGTCCTTGAAGTCCCCGAATAATAACTGGTGTCATGACAACGATGTCATGAACTGCCATAGCCAATTAAGTGGGGAATGGGATGTGACCCCTACAGTCTGCAGCCTCTGTGTTCTCAGTCACTATTTTATTCACTTTCAGTTATCATTTGATTTTTGCCAATTTGACTGATTAAAAAAAAAGATAGTCTCACTGCAGTTGTTTGGGTGCAATTTCAACTGTTTTTGTTTCTTTTTTTAAACTGAGGTAACTTTTGTTTATAATACTGTATAGATTTCAGGTATGTGTAGTTTAATACCTCAGCAGCTATACAAATCACACTATGCTCATCATCAATGTCCATATTTTTTTCCTCCCTCTGCCTTTTTCCCCTCTGGTAACCATCATTTTGTTGTCAGAGACTAAGGGTTTGTTTTGTTTGTTCATTCTTAGGCCTACCCAACCTACTCACTTGTAGTTTTAATTTGCATTTCTTTTAACAAAAACGAAGCCAAACATCTTTTTCTGTGTTAAAAAGCCATATTATTTTCTTATTTATGATTAAACCCTTTCTTCATTCTTCACTTGGATTGTCTTTTTTAAATTAATGGGACTTCTTTTATATCTATTAAGATAATAAATCTGTTTCTGTTGCAAATATTTTTTTCTCTATTTCGCCATTGTCTTTATATTTTGTCATTTGTCTAAAATCTCTTTGCATTTTTGGAAACACCATTCAAATACCTCCTTAATGTTAACTTTTCAATATAATGTTGGCTCTTTTATGCTTTGGATCATTATAGAAGAGGGGGTGGGCCACCTCATTACACCAGAGTCACTCTTTCAGCCTGACCACTGTAGTTCTGTGGTAGCTATGACTTCTCTTCTATCCAAGAGGAGCTAAATGACTAGGGAAGTGATCCAAGAAAGGGAATGGAAATGTGATTTCCTGAAGTTTTTATCTCCCTTTCTTATCTATAAGATAAAAAATAGAAATAAAACTCTTCAAGGAGAATTTTAAGAAACATTTGCTTTTTAATTTTGTTGTGGTTGATTATTTACCATTTCAAAACATACTAAACAATGATTATATCAGCAAAGCAAATATGGTTTTACATTTTTAACTAAATAATAACTTTGCAATGAATAAAAACATGAAAGCTGAATATTTTATATTTATCTGAACTTCCTCTCCTCACAAACTTAATTCCTTAGTTTCGAGTTCCTAAATTTTGGCAATTTTACATCTCTAACCTGGATTCCTGACAGTTCTATTATCACTATTTTGTTCCTCTACTCTTGAATTTCCCTTCTAATTTTTATTTAAATCATGCTTCACAATTTTTATTCTTCTTCCAGCTATATGGGAGGCCGTACAAAGTGCTATACTAAGAAATAATGCCAGTGACTTTACACTATTATGAGGAACTTTAGTTTCCTGTACGACAGTTCAATTATCTACGAAGGAAGCATAACCACAATTCCCTTTTAGTATTTTACAGATACATTTATGTATGATGACTTTCTCTTTTCTGTAAAGAACATTTTTATAACTGTCCAAATATTTTCTATTATTATAGGGAAGCAATCATTTTTGTACATACAAGTTATAAAGGTACAATTTTAGCCGACGATTTCCTTCACAACATAAAAATGGGAAAACAGTATCAATCTATTTCATCATTAACATTTACCTGTGACATGTTGGCATCTGGCTTCTCTTCTTGCCAGCTCATGTATGACAGAAGATCTACATCTTCTTTGGCAATAAGTTCCAAAATATTTGGAATAATAGGAGCCAATAACTCATTGTCATCCTATATTGAATCACAGGTAAAAACAAACAGATATCATGTTAAATGATTATCTAACATTTTAATGCCTTGTGAACCTTTGGTTTAGACTGTGTTTAGGTGTAAGATGTGACTATGTATCTTAGGTCACAGAGACAGAGGGGAGGAACCAGACAGGCTCTGCTGAGTGGCTTCTGATTATTGTGTAGAAATCTTATGAAGAAGAAAGGGCCTTGGTGAGGTTAAAGGAAGTTCAGGTTTTTCCTGCTAGCTGAGGGTCTTGGATTAAGAAGAGATTCAACATGCCAAAAATATAACAAAATTGTACATCTCTTTAAAAAGTGTATGTGTAGCTAATAAATAACTATAACATTAAAAACAGTAATATACTTAACTCATTTTGAGATCCCTAATGCTGAGGCTGGAGCCATGGCTGACTAGTCTCTTATTTCCACTCTCTGCCTCATGTGTGGGTAAGAGTAATTTTCGTAGCATGGAAATATAAATAAGGTAACTGGGAGTTGACAACAATACATACCCTTTTCTCAACTGCCACAAAGCTTGTAAATTGTGTTATGAGAGAGTTTTCTTTACTGAGTTCAATGATCAGAGATTTTAAAAGCTGCTTTTTCATCTAGGAGAGAATAAAATAAATGAAGTCATGTCCTGCTTTATTTTCTCACTATTTACTGTGATCAATTAAGCAAGTATTAAATAATCTAAAAAGTGTTTTTAATAAAATCATTATGCTTTCAAACTAATTAAAGTTGTCAGTCCTCTCCAAGTAAGAAACTCAACATTCCTTGCTAAATGGGACCAACTTACAAACTACTTTGTAGCTAGAATAATACATACACAAATAGCTCTTCAAATTGACAAATTACTCTCAAATCTGGAGTTTTGGTAGTGTTTTAATGATGAGGAACCTGGGGCAGTGAGAGGTAGAGTGACTTCTTTGGTGATTGGTTGGTGCCCTCAGAGATTAAATGGTGTCAAGCAAAACAGAACACTAAGGCTGCTAATTCAAGGGTGGTGAAGGAGAAGAGTGAAAGCATAGGCCATTTATCACAGCATCATGTCAATGACTGGGTACTTTGCTTTTGGTAGGGCTGAGTTCTCATGTCCCTGTGACCTTGGTCTGGGTAAGTAGGGCACTCTGCCAGGGGCCTCAAGGAGTTGGCTCTGCTGTGTCTCTTTAGGCAGACCACCCACCTGTCCTCCACTTGAGCTTCTTCAATAGTAGGGAATACAGATGCCTATAACAGATAAGATCTGAAGTCATGTCTATCACAGACACCTGTGAAGGTTCTCTAAGTCCACATATAGCCTTTCCTGATGGGCAAATTATCATAGGGTTCTCTAGAAGCTACTCATATCTCTGTTTCTGCTAATTCATCCAACAACTATTTAAGGAGCACCCTGTGCCCCAGACACAGAAAAAAAACAAAGATACAGACATCAGTGACCCTGACACAGCTTACTTCATCCAGCTCTCCTCACATTGTTTCTATGGCTAAATCAATTTTAATAAGGATAAAAAACAACATGTGATGTTTTTACTACGAAAAGAGCGGACCTCATGATTTGTTTCATCTTCATGGAGAACGCCTTCTTCATAGTCTCTGATCAATGCTCGTGCTGTCAGCTTATGAATCATCTGTGTTAAAGTAACAAAGGAAAAATTTTCAAATGCTTCTCATTAAGTCTTACCTGGAAAACCATTTTCTAAATTGAGGTATAATTTACATACAGCAAAATTATCCCTTTTGAAGTGTGAAGTGTGATGAGAGTTATGAAGTGTGTACAGTTGTGTGACCATCACTGAAATCAATGCACAGCAGTGCCCTCACCATACAACATACACCCCCACAGCCCATGGCCAACAGCATCTGTTTCTTGTCCCTACAGTATGACTTTTCTATAAAGACCACTTTGCCAATTCAATGATTTCAAACATGTTAAACTGCTTTCTACTATGGGAAGAGCCAGCTTCATGCTGGGATGTCCAGAGTGGGGGTGTCCTCTGTGAGAGGCAACAGCACAGGGCTCTGGGTTTCCTTTCTTTTCTCTCAAATGAAACAGAACAGATCTTAAATGGCACTGTGTGCTTTCAATGAGTTCAGTCCTGCACTTTGTTATTCATACAGCCACTGTTCACAAGGGAAGTAAACTACAATAACTGATTTTATTGAAAAGCACCTCTTTCCAGGTAAAATCATGATAATTTATTTACTTCATATATTTAAGTTTTAAAATAGTATGGATATTCTTTTAAGTCACACACATAAGTCACTGTCAAGGAAATAGTAAGCATTATCGATTCAGTGCCAAAATATAAGGTGTATGGTATTTAAAGTAAAAAGGTAGCAATATCAGCTTAATGGTTTATCTGCTTATACAATACTCCTATGAATAGTAAGCTACATAAACAGCACAGAAGGCTTAGTAATTTCCTAGGTTTAAATGTCACAGATTCAGTAGTATGAATACTACAAGTTTTTGATGGTAATTCATTTTCTTCTGTGATATTGTGATTTATAAAGAACATACTTTGGTCACTCATATGACCAAAATATATTTCTCATATGTATTTGATCTTCATCCACAGTTTGTGGCTGACAGATCTTATAGTGCCAGCAATGCACACAGCATGATCCAGGCAGACAGGTAAAGGAGAGTCCTAGAGCCCTCAATAGCTTTTTTAGGCTTTTAATAATCTTAGCACACAATTTGTAGTGAGGCAACCAGGAGCAGGCCAGGCAAGTGGACCAGGGCCTAGGATTAATTTTTACTCTTTCTGGCACCTGTCCTCTGCTCCTGTATTCCATCCTCTGTGACTCTGCACTTATATGCTTTGTCTCTCAGGTCAGCTATGCCCATTACATGTACCCACACTATACTGCAGGTGCTGCCATCAGGGACATGTGTAAGGCCACAGGTGTCAATCGTTGATGCTAATGGTGGGATGGCAGAAAAAAACCTGATAATTTCCATTTACCCTACAGCTCTCAAAACTCTTAGAATTTCTTAAATGTTAAGAGTGATAAAAGTATCCTTTGGATTGTTAGTGAGGTGACTTCTAGAAGCACATAAGGGTGGTGGCTGGTTGCCAGGAGAGCCAACCATGTGATTAGCAGGTAGGAATTTCCTGTTTCATTCTCCTTAGAGTTGAGAGGTGACAGAGTAGGAAGTTGCATTCAATTGCTAAAGGCCAGTTATTTAATCAATCAAGTCTGGATAATGCAACCTCTGTAAGAACCCAAAGAGATATCCATGTATGATAAAGGCCTTTAAGTTCTTGGGACAGAAGGACAATATCTTAACATATGGGCCACACATGACAAACCCATAGCCAATATCATTTTCAATGGTGAAAAGCTAAAGTTTCCCTTAAGGTCTGGAACAAGTCAAGGATGTCCACTTTCACCACTGCTTTTCAATGTAATACTAGAAGTCCTAGTCAGAGCAATAAGACAAGAGAAACACATACAAGGAATCCGAGTAGGGAAAGAAGAAGTAAAACTATCACTACTTGCAGATGATATGATAATATACATAGAGAACCCAGAAAACTCCACAGAAAAACTAATCAAAATAATCAACCAACTGAGTAAAGTAGTAGGATACAAAATCAACACAGAAAAGTCAGTTGCCTTCCTATATGCAAACAATCAAGCTGAAGAAGAAGAAATCAAGAAAACCATCCCTTTTATAATTGAAAAATCAAATCAAATAATTGGGAATAAACCTAACAAGAGAGGTGAAGTACATCTACAAAGAAAATTATAAAACATTGCTAAAAGAAATACAAGAAGACACAAAGAAATGGAAAGACATCCGCTGTTCATGGATTGGAAGAATTAACATTATCAAAATGGTCATCCTAAAAGTAACTTACAGATCAGTGCTATTCCAATAAAAATTTCAATAACATTCTTCAAAGAAATAAAACATATATTGACAAAGTTCATATGGAGTCATCACAAGAAACCTCTAACAGTCAAAGCACTCCTGACTAAAAAGAAGGGGAATGGAGGTATCACTCTCCAAGACTTCAAACCACACTACAAAGCCACAATAATTAAAGCTGCATGATACAGGAACAAAAACAGATAAACAAACTGATGGAATCAACTAGAAAGCTCAGAAATTAACTCACAGACTTGTGAACAACTAATCTTTGATAAAGGAGCAAAGAATATGCAATCAAGCAAAGACAGTTTGCTCAATAAATGGTTCTGGGAAAAGAATAAAGTTAGACTACTGCCTAACACCATGCACAAGAACCAATTCAATATGTGTTAAAGAATTAGACAGATGACCTGAAATGATTAAAATATATAGAAAAAAATATAGGCAAAACACTGCATGACATGCATATCAGTAATAACTTTAAAGACACATCACCTAAAGCAAAGAAAATGAAGGAAAAGACATGCAGCTGGAATTACACCAAATTAAAGAGATTCTGTACAGAAAAACAGACATTAGCCAAAACAAAGAAACACTCCACTGATTGGGAGAAAGTATTTGCACACAATACGAGTGATAAGGGACTTATCACAAAGATCTACAGAGAGCTAATGAAGCTCAAAAAACCCAAACTAAACAACCCAGTTAAAAAATGTGCAGAAGAGGGCCCTCCCTGGTGGTGCTGTGGGTTAAAGCACCACACTAAGAAGCTAAAGCCACCTCAGCATGAGTTCGATCCCCGCCTGCCCGGGAGGTGATCCACATGGCATGACAGACCTCTCCTGACCAACCCGTTGCTCCCCTCAGCAGTGCATCTCGAAGGTCTGCCTGTTCTGCTCCCCACTCTGTCTCTGGTGAATTCTCTCACTGCTCCTGCACTTCTGGCATATATCCCAGACATATGAAAAAATGTTCAGCATCACTGATAATCAGGGAAATGCAAATCAAAACCACAATGAGATACCACCCCATACCAGCAAGAATGGCATATCTTAAAAAAACTAGCAACAAATGTTGGTGAAGATGTGGAGAAGAAGAAACTCTCTACATTGTAGGTAGGAGTGCAAACTGGTCCAATCACTATAGAAAAGCTGTATGGAGATTCCTCAAATTACTAAAAATGTAGCTTTAATATGATCCAGCAATTCCACTCCTAGAAAACTACCCAAAGGAAACAAAACATTAATTCAAAAGGACATCTGCACCCCTATGTTTATTGCAGCACAATTTACAATAGTTAAGCAATGGGAGAAATCCAAATGCCCAAAAATACATGTGGTATATTGACAACATGAAATATTACCCAGCAATCAAAAAGGATAAACTCATGCCCTTGAAAGCCACATGGATGGAGATGGAAAGGACTATGCTCAGTGAACTAAGCCAGAATGAATATATATATATATATATAAATACATATATAGGATGGCCTCATATATAGGAGGAGTGTATGAGAACCAAGTAAGAGGTCAGGGAAATAAGTATAATGAAGTAAAAATCAGAATCATCAGGCTACTATAGATCAGAGATATTCCGTAGGGGGGAAGAAGGGGAGGAAGATCAGGGTAGGAGTGTGAAGAGCACAAAAATTATGGTGATGGTGCATGGGTGTAATGGTGGGAATTTCATGGGGGAAATCATATATTGTACCAAAATGAAAGATGATGTAATACATATTATTTTTTAAAAAATTTAGAAAAAGAACCCAAAAAGGAAGGTTTGGGAGACCTATGATCATTTAAGATCTGGGGCGACTAGCACACCTGGGTAGGGCATAGAGGCCCAATATTCTTTTCCTACTCCTTATCCCATGTATCTTTTTATGTGGCTATTGGTGATAAATATAATAAATCAGTGATTTGGTGAGTAAATTGGTTTCCTGATTTCTGTGAGCTCCTCCAGCAAATTAACTGACCTCTCAGGAGGGGGAAGTGGGAAGTTCTGACTAATAGCCAATTGGTCAGAAGCACAGGTAATAGCAACTGGGAGCTGAAGTCGAGGTTGGTTTTGAGCGATTGGTTCCTTAATCCATGAAAGCTGGTACTGTCTCTGGGTAAAACTGTCAGAATTGAGTTGGCTTCTCAGACATCTGCTGGATTTGCTTGTTGGAGTGAGGAACACTCATGCTGGAATTGAGAACAGGGACCCATGTAGCTTTTTTTTTTTTTAAATACTTATGTATGCATACAGAACTGGGGTACAGGCAAGAGGTGCAGGGTGGTGAGAAGATTCATCAGAGACAGAGTAGGGAACAGAACAGGCAAATTGATAAAACTACACGGCTGAGGGGAGCAGCGGGCAGGTCAGGAGAGGTCTGCGGCGCCATGTGGATCACTTCTGGGGCGGGGATTGACTCGCACTGAAGCGGCTGTACCAGTTTTGCAGTACTGAGCTTTGACCTGCTGCACCACCAGGGAGGGCCCCACATAGCTTTTCATCAAAAAGAAAAATTAAACACATCCCTAGTATATGATATGATTGACTTAGTACATTTTATTTTTTTAAGATTTATTTTATTTATGCATTCAAGAACTGGGTTGCAGGCCAGAGGAGCAAGGAATGAGAAGATTCACCAGAGACACAATGATGAGCAGAATAGGTGGATCTATTGAAATACAAAATTGAAGGGGAGCAGCAGGTGAGACAGGAGCAGTCTGTTGTGCAATCATGGATAGAACCTTGGCTAAGGATTGAACTCACACTGCAGTGGTTGGTGATCGCTTGACAGTACCGAGATTTTAACCCCTATGCTACCACAGTGGTCACCAGTACTTCCCATTTTAAAATAACATAGGTGAACCAGTGGCACTAATATATTTTTAAAGATTTATTTATTTATGCATACAGAACTGGGGTATACGCCAGAGGTGCAGGGGCAGTGAGAGGTTTCACCAGAAAGAGTGGGGAGCAGAGCAGGCAGACTGATGAAGTACACTGCTAAGTATACTTCAGCAGCAGGCGAGACAGGAAAGGTCTGCTGCTATGTGGGTCACCTCCAGGGCTGAGGATCAAACTCATGAGAAGTGGCTGCAGCTAGTTTTATAATTCTGTGTTTTAACCCATTGTGCCATCAGGGAGGGCCCATCAATTAACATTCATCGAGTCATGAGTACCACTGAGAATCTCCTTAAAAATTTTTCATAAAGTGGGTTTTATCCCAGGAGCACAAGGATGGTTCAGCATCAGAAAATCAACTACTGTAATCCATTACATCAACCGACAGAAAAATAAAAACCACATAATCATATCAATAGATGCGGAGAAGGCATTTGACAAATTTCAACACCCACTTCTGTTTAAGGCCCTCAAAATCCTTGGAATAGAAGGAACATACCTGAACATGATAAAAGCCATATATGACAAACCCACAGCCAATATTATCCTCACTGGAGAAAAGCTGAAAGCCTTTCCCTTGAGATGAGAACAAGACAAGGGTGTCCAATATCACCACTGCTCTTCAACATAACACGGGAAGCCAGAGCAATAAAACAGGAAAAAGACATACAATGAATCCAAATAGCGCAAGAAGAAGTAAACTGTTCTTATTTGCAGATGATATGTTAATCTACATGAAAAACCCTAAAAACTCCACAGAGAAACTAATCTAAACCATCAACCAGTTTAGCAAGGTAGCAGGATATAAAATCAACACACAAAAATCAGAAACCTTGCTATACACAAACAACCAATCAGAAGAAACAGAAATTTAAAAACCATCCCCTTTTCAATTAAAGCAAAAAGAATCAAATACCTGGGAATCAACCTAACAAAAGAGGTAAAAGACCTCTACAAAGAAAATTACGAAACACTGTTAAAAGAATTACAAGAAGACAACATGAAATGGAAAGACATTCCCTGCTCATGGATCAGAAGAATTAACATCATCAAAATGGCCATCCTGTCAAAAGCAATATATGGATTTAACGCCATCCCAATAAAAATCTCAATGACATTCTTCAAAGAAATAGAAAAAATGTTGATGAGATTCATACGGAACAACAAAAGACCTCAAATAGCCAAAATTCTCATGACTAGGAAGAGAATGGAGACATTACAATCCCAAACTTCAAGCTATACTACAAAGCCATAGTAATCAAAACTGCATGGTACTGGAACATGAACAGAAATACAGACTAGCGGATTGGGATAGAAAACCCAGATATAAACCCACAGGCTTATGGACAGCTAATCTTTGACAAAGGAGCAAAGAAGATACAATGGAACAAAGAAAGTTTGTTCAGCAAATGGTGCTGGGAAAACTGGGAAGCTACATGCAAAACAATGAAACTAGATCACTAGATCACCATACACAAAAATCAATTCGAAGTGGATGAAAGACCTAGACATAAGAATGGAAATCATAAAATACCTGGAAGCAAAGATGGGCCAAACACTACACGATATATACTTCAGCAACATCTTTAAAGATAGAGCACCCAATGGCACGATAGTGAAGGCAAGGATAAATAGATGGGACTACATCAAGTTAAAGAACTTCTGTACAGCAAAAGAGACAGTACAAAAAACAGACAGCCCACTAATTGGGAAAACATCTTCTCACACAAAACCAGTGATAAAAGTTGATCACACAAATATATGGAGAACTGACGAAACTCAACAAAAATAAAGAACCCCATCAAAAAATGGGCAGAAGAGCTAAAAAGACACTTCTCCAAAGAGAAAATGCAGATGGCCAAAAAGCATATGAAAAAATGTTCAACATCACTCGTAATAAGGGAGATGCAAATTAAAACCACCATGAGATACCACCTCACCCCAGTGAGAATGGCACATCTTCAAACAACTAGCAACAACAAATGTTGGCGAGGATGTGGGGAAACTCTCCTACACTGCTGGTGGGAATGCAAACCAGTACAACCACTATGGAAAACTGTTTGGAGGTTCCTCAAACTGCTAAACATGGAGCTTCCCTACAACCCAGCAATCCCACTCATAGGTATCTACCCAGTAGACACAAAAACACTGATTCAAAAAGATACCTGTACCCCCATGTTTATTGCTGCTTTATTCACAATTGAAAAGACATGGAAACAGCCCAAATGCCCAAAAATGGATGACTGGATCAAAAAGATGTGGTATATATACACAACAGAATATTACTCAGCAACCAAAAAAAAAAGAAACCCATGCAGCAACATAGATGGAGCTGGAAAAGATTATGCTTAGTGAAATAAGCCAGAAAGAAAGTGAAAAATACCGGATGGTTTCTCTCATAGCAGGAATATAACGGAACAGGTGAGAAAATAATGATAATAATGAACAGCTATATGCCAGAGACATTTTGTGGGGGTGGGTTGGGGAGTGGGATCACAAACAGTGGGGAAGGGAAATGCAGTAGACTATGGTGATGGCACATGGGTGATTTGGTGATGGGAAACCCAAAGGGACTGCAACTGAGATGGAAAAATGCACAAAAGTATGTAAAAATAAACTATTATAAAATTAAAAAAATTTTCATGCATAAAATACTATATTTAGTTGTAGTTATTTATATCCAATATGCCCCCAGTGATACATCTAGACTCAAGAACTGCAGAAGAGTCTACTTTACAAATTGAAAACTGAAAGAAATTCCTCCACATAATATTATTGTAAGGAACATGGGGTATTCAGGCTTTTTCCCTCTCCTGTTACCAGCCTCTATAGCCACCACCTGTGGTCTTGCTTTCTGCCTAGGTTTCATTACTCACATACTACTCGTGATTGCAAAAGGTGCTTGGGATCACGAGTGTGAGGGACGTCCACCAATCATCGTGGACAACAGAGCTGAGAAGCCACAGAGCATGGGGTATATGCATTTGTAAATATGGACAAGTGGGCTGAAAAGCTAAGGATAAAGGAGAAATTTGGGGGTGGCTAGGAAGCTCAGTTCCTTCCCTGCCTGCTGGTCAGTTTGTATGTCTGGTCCCCTGATTCAGCATAAAGGCATATGAAGTCTCCAAAATTTTCATTTCACCTGCCTACATCAACCATGAATTTGCCTGGCACCACAACTGTGTACTGAAACACAGAAAAGCCACCACAACAAAGGTAGTACATGAAGCACTATATATAAAACATTGTAACTTTCAACAATGATTCATTCCATAGTTAAAGTGTTGATTCTTACTGTTCCGGTTGTCTTCTGAAGTTCAGTTGTTGACACCATTGTAGAAAATTCCTTCTCTTGGATTAATGCACATAAAGTTGCCTAAATGGGAAAAAAACCCTATTAACTTTTCTGTTTCACAATATGTAGGTTAATTTAACAAACTCAGTGATTTCCTCTCTTTTTAGAGTTAAAAGTTCCCACAGCTACTCTGGATAGTCATGTGACCATGTTCCAAGGAGATCTGTCAGCAGATTATGATTTGGAGGTAAGTTGTAATGGGAACAAAGGAAAAAGAAAATAATTAGCAAAACATATTTTTTTCCTCCCCAGCAAAGCAAATTGTGTCCTCCTTACCTGTGTGCAGTGAGGAATGAGCCCATAGACCAGGAGCTGGTTATTATGGAACAGAGACTGCACCTGGACAGGGGCCTGCAGGGGTTCAGGGGCATCTGTGCTTAGCTGTTGCCATTTGATGGAGACCGAGTGGCAGCTTGGAGATCGTAACCTAGTTACTTGGTCTTCTATCTATTTTAAAAGAGCAGCAATATTTTCAAATGTTATATACATAAAATAATTACTTAACACTTAAAACTTACATTCTATCCTATCTACCCATAGCTCGTTCACTGTTCCTTCCTGCTATATTTTTCCAAAAAGATTTAAAATAGAAAATTTAATACTGACATTAGCACAAAATGTAGATTTATAAAACATCCTAAAATTACTTCATAATGGTTAATTACTAATTATTGCTTTGGTATGGAGCAAATTCTAGTTGTAAAAATTAATCTTACCAAGGACTAGAATAGACACCTCTCCAGAAAAGATGAATAGCCACTATGTACATGAAAAGATGCTCAAAAGCACCAGTCACTGGAGAAATACAAATCAAAGTCCAAAGAAATACAATTTCACCCTCATTAAGTGTGAGGTATAATTTGCATACAAAAGGTGATAAACAACATGTGGCATATACGTATAACAGAATATTATTCATCCGTAAAAAGGAAGAAATTCCTGATATATGCTATAACACAGACAGACCTTGAAGATATTATGTCAGGTGGAATAAGAGAGGCACAAATGGACAGATAATGTATAATTCCACTGACAGGAGGTATGTTAAGCAGTCAAACTCCTAGAGACAGAAAATAGAATGGTTGCTGCTGGGGCTGGAGGGAAGGGAAAGTTGGGGGGAAGAGAAGTTGGGGGAAAGGGAATGTAAAGTTGTGAACTGAGTACATGTGTCTAGGATGAGAAAGTTCTGGAGATAGATGGTGGTGATGGTAGCTCACATTGTGAATGTGCTTAATAACATTAATTGTACACTTAAAAAGGGGTAAAATTTATGTATATTTTGCCACATTAAAAACTAATCCTGGCCCTCCCTGGTGGCACAGTGGGTTAAAGCACTGCACTGAGAATCTAAAAGCCACTTCCTCATGAGTTCGATTCCCGCCTGCCCCGAAGGTGACCACATGGCGTGGCAGACCTCTCCTGACCCGCCCGCTGCTCCCCTCAGCAGTGTACTTCGTCGATCTGCCTGTTCTGCTCCCCACTCTGTCTTTGGTGAATCCTCTCACCCTCCACATCTCTGGCCTGTACCCCAGTTCTATATGAATAAATAAATAAATCTTAAAAAAAAAACCTAATCCTATTAAGTTATGTGTTATCCTTCACTTTAGAATAGCAATCTATGACACTCTATAAAGTGGAGACTGAACTATTAATTATAAAAATGACCTAGTATTTACTGTGTGCTTATTAGGTGCAAGATGAAAGGACTTAAAGGCTAGAGGGATGCATACTTCTGCCTCTTCCTAGTTTCATTGTTCATTACAGAAACTACTATATTTTAAGAAGATAATATTTCCACATGTAAACAAAAGACTCGAAATAAGATGTTTGATAAATGTACCTGTTTTTTCCAACTACGTTTGGATTTTGAGTTAAAATATTCAAATGCTCCAGCACCACACTGCGACAATGTCCTTAAGATATGACGATTGGCTGTAGAACTGATCACATTTTACATATTTTAATTTTCAAGAAATTTTAGAAGCATTTCTGAAACAGTAACATTAAGTTAATATTGGCATAACTCAAAATTCAGCAGAAGGGATATTACATGCAGAAGGGTTTATTCTTCCACTGAGATTAAAAAGATAAAACTTATGATAGGTAGTATGAATTTAAACTCCTACATATCAGAGGATTTATTTCTCTTTCATTATAGAGAATAACAGAAATTCTTGACTTTCTGTTTATCAAAAGAGAAAGTGGATGATTCTGGAAAACTCCAAAAAGATACAAGAATGCTGATAAAGATAGCAACCTACTTTCTGTCAGTTGACCAAATCTGATCCCAAAGATCAAGAACTGATAGCTGATAGTCTACATTTTCAAATTTAATACACATTTTGGTAGCCAAAGGTACAAAGAAGTAACTCTCACTCCAGTACACATTATATCTGATATTTAACTGACAATGTCTTATCAAATTTCTCTCAATAAAAATTCTATAGCTGTTAAGAATGTCTTTTTTATTGTTTCCTCCTGAAATATCAAAGAAATGACTACTTTCACTTTGTCCTCCACCTGAGGCACCTGAAGTCTGACATCTAGTGAGCTGAGCAACCGCAGCTTCCAGCAGGGTGGGTGGGAGGTTAGATGAGAGGGGTGGCGTGAAGGTTGGCAGGGGGTCTTGGGCAGAAGGGACAAGGGTCGTAGGGGGAATGAGGCAGGTGGCAGCCCTCAGAAGACCATTAAATTACCTCCCCCAGATGCTTGCAACATACAGACAGGGCTGCTTGCAGCCAATGTGTACCTCCCATCACATGCTGACCTCTCAGCAAAGTTGCCAGAGAGATTTTCAATGAAGGATTTTGTTTGCGGTTGGTAAATTGAATGTGAAAACCAAGTGATGCAATGGTACGGAACTTTCAACATCTGGTTCATCTAATGTAGACATGATAAAGTTGGACTTGGAAACCAAATATAAATGGTGAGTATAGTCAAACTTTCACAGCAAAATCAAACATAGTAACACTCTGGGAATAGAAATTTCAACTGAAGACCAAAACTGTCAAGGTTTGAAACTGACATTGTCACCAAACACAGGAAAGAAAAAATAGTAAAATCAAGTCTTCTTATAAAAGGGAGTCCATAAATTTTGGTTGTGATGCTGATTTTACTGGATTAGTAATCCATGGTTCAGTTGTCTTTGGTTATGATGGCTGGTTTGCAGGTACCACATGACCTTTGACAGTACACACTCGAAGCTGACAAAGACTAACTTTGCAGTGGGCTACAGGACTAGGGACTTCCAGCTACATACTAATGTCAATGATGGGTCAGAATTCAGACAGTACGTTATCAGAATTCAGTCAGTACGTCAGTAAACCTTGCTTGGACCTCAGGAACCAACTGTACTTGCTTTGATATTGCAGCTAAATATCAGTTGGATCCCACTCCTTCCATTTCAGCAAAAGTCCACAACTCTAATTTAACTGGAGTGGACTACACACAGACTCTGAAGCCTGGTGTGATTTACACTGCTTGCTCAGGTAGACAGGAAGAACATGAATGCTGTAGCTCACTTGCCCTGAAGATGGTTATCTATCTAGTTACTAGTGCCACAGTTGTATAGTCACCCACACATTATTTAAATATTACCAAAGTGGAGCTTCTATATGATCCAGCAGTTCTACTCCTAGGAATCTACCCAAAGGACACAAAAACATTAATTCAAAAGGACATCTGCACCTCTATGTTTACTGCATCACATTTTACAATAGGTAAGCTATGGAAGCAACCCAAACGCCCAAAAATAGATGACTGGATCAAGATGTGGTATATTTACACCATGGAATATTACTCAGAAATCAAAAAGGATAAACTCATGCCCTTCGCAGCCACATGGATGGAGCTGGAAGGGATCATGCTCAGTGAAATAAGCCAGAAAGAAAAAGAAAACTATTGAATGTTCTCACTGATAGGAGGAATGTAGAGGAAACAAATAAGGGATCAGGAAAAAAAAAAGAACTATAATAAAGTAAAATTCAGCACCACCAGACAACTATAGATCAGGGACATTCTGTAGGGGTGGAGGAGAGAGAAGAAGCAGGACAGGAACAGGGAGAGCACAAGCAACTATGGTGATGGTGCATGGATGAATTGGTGGGAATTTCAGAGGGAAATCAAACATTGTACAAAAATGAAGGATGGCCCTCCCTGGTGGCGCAGCGGGTTAAAGCACAGCACTGAGAAGCTAAAGCCACTTCCGCATGAGTTCGATTCCCGCCTGCCCCGGAGGTGACCACATGGCGTGGCAGACCTCTCCTTACCCGCCCACTGCTCCCCTCAGCAGTGTACTTCGTAGATCTGCCTGTTCTGTTCCCTACTCTGTCTCTGGTGAAGCCTCTCGCCACCCCTGAGCCTCTGGCCTGTACCCCAGTTCTGTATGAACAAATAAATAAATCTTTAAAAAAAAAATGAAGGATGACATAATAAATGTAATAAGAAATAAATGTATTTAAGTATTAAAGGCACCAGATGCCAATAATGAAACAGACCTTTATGAAAACTATGCAACTGTATGACTGCTTTCTTTTACATTCCTTTTAACACTGAATATTGCCACTGAATGAAGATAGAACAATGAATCTTTTTAAATGAAGTTAATTTTTTTTTTGTTAATTTGAAACATCACTAGAATTATTTTTGGATCTCCAAACACTATCAATTATGAATAAAAACAAGGATACATAATTTTCAAAAATGAAATAAGCTATCACAAAAAGAACTGGAGTGTTATTTCTGAAATGCTTTTGGTTAGATTGGATTTACCTTAAATTCTCAAAACAAACCACCAATGATTACAACATTGATTACAAAATCCTGAAGGCAGAGTTGATTTGTATCTTAGAGATCTCATTGGTCAGTGAGACTATATGGCTCTCAGAGGACAGTCTCTAAGGCAGGATGAACAGTCTTTACTGGTGAACTCACAGCATATGGCTAGAGTTGGTGAATACAAATGACTAGGTGTAAAATGAGGCAAGAACATTTAGATTCTAAAATCTTGACAGAATATTAGCAACAACTCCAACTCCCTCTGGCTGAGTCAAGTGAACCAGCACACAATGACACCAAACCCTGTCATTTCCTTTGCAGCAGCCCTTTAATTTCCTTCCTGGATGTAGCCCAGACACTCACAATGTTGCTATTCATCTGTGTCCCCAACAATGTCCCACGAGAAGCCATTAGCAAAGATGGATCAAGATGTGAACCCTAATATGGCACAGCAGGCCCAACACATGGTAGAGGCATTGGAGAAGGGGAATGTCTTTGAAACAGGCCAAGGGACAGATTACCCCATACAAATCCAAGTTAACTAATCCAAGGTAAAGTCTTAGGAACAATTCCTGAGGGGGTGGTGGGGGTCCTTTTATGGGTTGGATAAACTCCCAGCTGGTTTGTGATACGCAGATAGGCCTCATATTACAGAGAACAGGAACAGGAGCAGTGACTAAAGACAAATGGGAGAGAGAAAAGAATCCAGTCCCTGGGGCTAATAACCAAGGGTCCTGCGCTGTGCACTGCCTCAAATATCGATGCAAGTGATCAGTCACTGGGATGATGACTATGGAGGAGGGCACAGAGGGCCTCAAGGACAGGCACACTTTATTCAAAGACAACCTAGCCACCTCTGTTTGGTGTTTTTTTGCATTTTCACCTCAGTTCAATACAAAAAAGTTAACTAACATTGGGGAAGGGGATAATTCCAACAATCATGGCGTTTTAGTCCTCCTGGAGAAGAATCTATATTGATCACGGGAATTGAAATGCAAATGTTCCTAGCATCCAGAAAGGTCATGAAGGAGCAAAGTCACCTGGGTGGAGATGCCTGAAAGTGGCAAGTACTCCTCAGTCTCCAACAAAATTATAAACGGGAGAGTGCGTGTCTGGCACTGCCAGATCTTCAGACTCCTCAGGACAGGTTGGAAACTTGGATTTTTTGCAAAATAATAATATCTAATATTGACTTGGGGCTTCCTTTGTGCCAGTTCTATTCTAAATGCTTTCTGCATATGAGCTCATTTAATTCTCACAGCAAACCTAGTATTAGTTTAGTATTTTCAGTATCATCTTCATTTTACTGAAAAAAAGTTACACAACTTATTCAAGGCCATAACTAATAAGTGGTCAACTCAAATTCTGAGACCCATGTGGTCTGGTTCAGACCAGAGCCCAGAACTCTGTATTTCTGCTCTAAACAGCTTTGATAAACTAGTATTGTTTTGAATCTTTCATGTTTCTTGAGCAGAGTCTTCACTGGTTGCACAATCTTGCACACTTACCCAGTGCCACAGCAGAACAGCCTGGTGTGGTGCACATTTCTCCTCACGAGTTGCAGGGTCAGGCCCATGTTCTGCAGGTGCCCATCAGATATAAGGAGGATGCTTCGAAACCCTTCAGAAGGGTATAGTAAGTTCAAATAACGGAGAGTTTTCCAGAAGTCCGTATTTCCCATGGTAGGTGTAGCTGACTAGAGGAAATGAAGCAAAAATTATTTATTATAAATCCTTTTTGGGTAAATTCACCAGTAACTATAACTGCTTAATAAAGCAAGTCCTTAATGGGAGTTTAGAGACAGAATCATGACAAGCTATGTTTTCCTAATTATAACTTTGTGGAACAACTATACTTACATCCTTTTAGTTTATTTCACATCACATGGTAACTTAACATTATTAGTAGGCACTTCTTTGTTTTTTTTTCTATGCTTTGTTTTTGCTTTTCAGTGGTTTTCAAAAAACATTACATCAAAATATTCCTGGGTTTGCCATCCTGAAGTAGACTGAGACGGCAAACAGTCCTCTCATATTGCTCCATTTTAGAAAAAGAAAAGAAAAAAAGGAGCAGAAAACATTTCCAAATTATTAATACTGGTTGTATATGTGTGGTACAATGGTGGGTGATTCCTTTCTTTCTATTCTCTTTAATTTCAAATTTTTATTTAATGGATTCAAATCATTACTATTAAAGAAATAAAAAGTGCTAGTCCATCCACATAAAAAAAATGGAATGACTAGGGGGTTCTGAGGGTGATTTGGGGGGAGTAAATCCTAGGAACCACCACTAAAACTCAAAAGATAAAGACTTAGGAGACAAAGGAAGGTTCTCTTACTCACCATAATGAACTCAGTTGGCATATTATTGCTTGTGATATACTTAGGATATGAAAATAACTCCTTGTAACCTGTATAGTAAGAATGGCATGAAGTGTTGCTAGTAACTATTCACTTTATTGACCACTAACAAAATTTTATAATTTTGGCATTAAAAAATTCATCACAGTATTCCTTTAAGTAGCACTTCTGAGTGTATTCAAAGTATGTACAAAATGTTCTGTGTTAGATGATAGGTATAGACTGTAGTAGGGGCCTCATGCAAAATAAGATGTGGATGTCACAATAACACAACAGCCTGGTCTCAGGAGGGGTGCAATCTCCTCCATGTCCTTTGCACTCGTGCTTGTTTTTTTTTTTTTTTTTAATTTATTTATGCATACAGTGGTTGGGGTGTAGGCCAGAGGATCACCAGAGACAGAGAGTGGGGAGCAGAACAGGTGAATTGACTGATGTACACTGCTGAGGGGAGCAGGGGTGAGACGGGAAGGGTCAGCTTGCTGGCTGGGGATGGAACTCATACTGCAGTGACTGCCTATAGCTTCAGTGCTGAGACTTAACCCCTTGTGACACCAGGATGGCCCTCATGTTTATTTGATCTCTGCTCCCAGCAGCAGATCCTTAGTAAAGGAGCTGAGCCTTCTGCTGAATGATAGATAAGAATAATAGGACATGAAAGTCACCTCACCCCACTCTTAGTTCTGCTCTCATTCCTTCCTTCTAGAGTCTGAGCTGTCCCTGGGCCTGGAGGATGACATTATCTTTCTTCTAAAGGGGATACTCTTATGTACCTGAGACTATTTCTTCCTGGTATTCTACAGCCATTCTGATTTCAAATATTTCATCCTTGTATCTGGAACCCTCATACTCATCAGACCAAGGGTTTGGTTCAGTTGACAATAAAAACATATTTATATAGCACTTAGTATGTAACAGACACTATTTTACCCTTTCTTTACATAAATTAGTGCAATCCTTACAGCAACACTGTAAGGGGGACTATTACCCTCACATTACAGTTAGAAAACTGGGGAATGAAAAGTTCTAGTAACTTGCCCAAAATAACACCTAGAATTAGGATTTGTCCCAAAGAGCTCTCTCCAGTGAATTTGTTATGCCTCTCACCTACAAATGAGATTAGGAGTACTGGCAGCTGGCAGTTCTACTCATGAGTATAGACTAAGGAGGAAGCAGACTCACCTGTGCCAAACTTGACAATGTTTATCTTCTCTTTCTTACCCATCAATGACAGTGCATGTAAGGCAATTCTCTTGGCTTGCAAGAATGTCACACCTTCCATGGAATTAGAGCAATCAAGACAAATAATCACTTCACTCTGCTCAATCATGTCAGGGAGCACGGCATCAAGATCTGGTTGAAAGACAAGCATACAGGCCTGCAAGAAGAAAAACAGTGTTGAACTGGTGCCTTCATAACTTAAACTAGCCTAGCTTGCTTATACTCATACTACTTTATATGCTAAGAGACTGCAAATTTCTATCCCCAAAACTACCACAAAATCTTTCCAAACAATGGACACATAATTAGGATAGAATAACAGAATGAAGAGTAGCCCACTAAAAACTGATTAAAACATCCTGGGTTCAGGGATACAATTCTCAATGTATCTCAGAATGATACATCAGAATGATTGGCCAAACAAATATTGTAATCCTCAAAGATGAGAGAGACATAAACACACCAATGAACATATATATGTATTTCATTTAAAGCGTACCATGTATAAAAAAATCTAAGTTTATAGAAAAGGTGAATTTAAATGAGCTATTTCTGATAGTAAAAGGGGCCATCAATGTACTATATAATCAATCTCACTTATATGTCATATCTCAGAAAAGCTGAGACCCACCCCCCCCATTCTTGGCAACCATTGTTCTCTTTCTGTTTTTGTGAGCTCAGCTTTTCTGAGATACTAAATGTAAGTGAAATTTTATAGTACTTATCTTTCTTGGTTCAACTTAACTGTGAGAGAAAAGCTCACAGAGAGAGAATGATGACTGCTAGGAACGGGGTGTAAGGGTGTAGAATAAAGAGATGTCCTTTTAAATACTGTGTTCTTCCAAATACTGTGCACAGTGGTAGCACTTAGAAGATGATTTCTTTTATATAAAACTAAGAGTTCAGTCATCCTTCTAAGGTAAAATCAATATATACACATAGGTAAGATTTTAGAATTTAGCATAAATATGTAATTTTTGTTGGAAAGGATCTACTTATAAAATTAAAACTGTCTAGTTAGGTAAAATAATTCTATAATTTTATTGAAAACAGAAAGAGTAAGAATAAGGTGTATTTAACAAAGAAATAGTATACAGAAATTTTTTTTTTTTAAGATTTATTTATTTATTCAGATAAAGCTGGGGTACAGGCCAGAGATGCGGAGGGTGAGAGGATTTACCAGAGACAGAAAACATATAAGATCTACTCTTTTAAGTAATCTCCACTCTGTTAAATATAGTCATCTTAGAAGTGGAGGTTATACCCTTTGACCAATAGTTCTCTATTCTACTCATTTACCCCCCCATTCTTGGCAACCATTGCTCTCTCTCTGTTTTTGTGAGCTCAGCTTTTCTGAGATACTAAATGTAAGCGAAATTTTATAGTACTTATCTTTCTTGGTTCAACTTAACTATGAAACCTATGTTGTTGCAAATGGCAGGATTTCCTTCTTTTTTTGGCTAAATAATATGCCACCCTGTGTATGTGTCATATTTGCTTTATCTCTTCATTCATCAGTAGAAAACAACTTAGGTTGTTTTCATGCCCTGATAATTATGAATAATGCTGTAATGAGCACTGGGGTGCAGATGTCTCTTTGAGATAGTAATTTCATGTTCTCTGGAGATCATACACATTTACACACACACACACACACACACACATACACACACACACACAAATATATATACCCAGCAGTGGAACTGCTGGTAGTTCCATTTACATTCTCACCAACAGTATACGAGTTACCAGGTATACAGATACGTATGGCTCCCACTTGATCCTGGGAAGGTTCTTAATGATAGTCCTTGGATGGGTCTGTTGGTTTGTGTGTGGGCAGGATTGGCCCTAGACTGTGGTTGAGTGGGAATGGAACTATGTCCCAGGATACTTTAGGTTCTAGAGCAAAGATTCAAGCCTGCATATTTGGCTCTGGAGGCACAAATAAACATGTCACTTCCAGGTCTCTGGATAGTCTGGCTGGTCCCTTGATAACGGTTGGAGCAGATTATGGGACCCTCTCTGAATCTGATAGACAGATATGAGTATCTTTTGCCAGGTGCTTACACTCACCAGAGTGCACACAAACTGCAGCTGGGAGAGGGCATGAGCTGAGCAAAGAGCTCTTTCAGAATCTCCAGGGTTGTAGATGGGTGTGTCTCCTGCTGAGTTCCTGAACTGTGGCTATGAAGGGGCTGAAACCAAGCCCTTTCAGGATCTCTGCAAATGTCTGAGCCAGCAGATTCTTCATGGTCTATAGCTGGGTCTGGCTGGACACAAGTTATAGTATCTTTTTAGTAGCTAAATCTGACTGAGACTATATGTCTATTTCTGCCACCAAAATCCTAACAAGAAAGTCAGCCACCTATCTGTGAGCTTGCTTTCTCAAATAGCTCTCCTCTGCCCTCAATTGTTCTGGGTTTTTAAACTTTCTTAACTGGATCACAAAAGATCCAACAGACACATCTAATGACCATATAGGCACCTTTCCAGGACTGAGTGGGAGCTATACCTACCTGTACACCTGGTAACCTGTAAACTGTTGGTAAGAATATAAACAGAACTACCAGCAGTCACACTGCCAGGTATATAAGTTTATGGTGTGTTTGTATCTCCATAGAATATGAAATCACTATCTCAAAGAGTCTTGGGGCTTACTTCCACAGCTTCTAGAAAGAGTCAAGAACTTTGGCCAAGAGGGATTAGAACTATTCTTTGGCCACTTCTGGGTCACAGTGATGACCAAGTTTTGTATACATAATACCATCATGTAATACCATCACTTGTGTATCACAAAAGTGTATCTGAGTCCACCTGAGTTCTTGGCATATGGTGCTTATGACAGGACCAATCTTGATGAGGCCTAGGAAAGTTCTCAGGGGTATGGGGCTGTGTCTGTTTCTGCCACCAGAACACTGACAAGCAAGTAAGCTGTCTCCATGTTGAGTCTGCCTTCTCAAAACACCTCTCCTCTTCCTTTGATTGTTCTGGATTTTCAAAATTTCAAATTGGATCATAAAACTCCATAAAGGGGGCCTCCCTGGTGATGCAGTAGGTTAAAGCACAGCACTAAGAAGCTAAAGCCACTTCAGCATGGGCTCGATCCCTGCCCTGGAGGTGATTCACATGACACAGCAGACCTCTCCTGACCTGCCCACTGCTCCCCTCAGCAGTGTACTTCGTCAGTTCGCCTGTTCTGCTCCATACTCTGTCTCTAGTGAATCCTCTCACTGCCACTGCACCTCTGACCTGTACCCCAGTTTTCTATGCATAAATAAATAAATCTTTTTAAAAAATACTCCATAAAGGTACTTTTTCCATGGGCAAATAAATGCCAAATAATCATTGTTTAGTAGGTGATATGTGGGACATCTTACTCATTCATCTTCCTAATTTCACTCTTAATTTTAAAAAAGAGAATAATCATTTATATAAAGTGGTCTTATAGCTTTAAATAACATATCAATTTTTAAAAAAGATTTATTTACTTATGCCTAGTGAACTGGGATACAGGCCAGAGGTGCAGGGGTAGATTCACCAGAGAAAGAGAGGATTCACCAGAGACAGAGTGGGGAGCAGAACAGGCAGACCGACAAAGTACACTGCTGAGGAGAGAGAGCAGCGGGTAAGACAGAAAAGGTTTTCTGCATCACGTGGATCACCTCCAAGGCTGGGGAACTGAACATGTACTGAAGTGGCTGAAACTAGCTTGCAGTGCTGCAACCTAACCCCTTGTGCCACCAGGGAGGGCCAAAATATCAATTTTTACAGAGTTTAAAACTATAGAATATATAAAAATTAACCACTGTAATGTTTGAAGGTGGGCTTTATTTTTGATGGGCATTAAGGTCAAACCTACAATCTTTATAGAGAATATGGCATACTGAAATTTTGCTTGAGAACTTAGAAGTCTGTCATGCTAGGTATCGCAAGTATTTTCAATTGCAGAATCTCCAGTTGGTGAGCGCTCATTTTGAAATGGTAATTTTTCAGGACTATTAATAATTTCCAAATTTAATATAATTTATTCTGAAATAATCTATTTTGAAATTTTTTTTTCAAAAGTGTCTACTACTTTAAAAAAGGGCTGTACCTCGCTTTCTTTTTCTGGATGTTTTTCAACCCACATTCTCGGGAGATAGGCATCACACAAACCGATGGAGAGAGAAAATCCACTGCTGTCTAAGAAGCTACCATCCACAGTACTGATGACAGCCTTGCAGTCTGTTCTCTACAAAACAAACAATGGCGACAATAAGGTAAATAATGGAGCAACAGTATATTATCAATTTACATCTACCTGTTAAAAAGCAAATCCATTCGTAACTTACCTAACTTGAATAAGAATCAACAACATACTAGTGAAATTATGGATTGGAATTTTTGTAAGTATGACCATTTTCATAACAATTACCCTCCTAAAATTCTAAGGCTGATATACACTAAGGCAGCAATCTCAAAATTGGATATAAAAATTACACATCTGTGTGTTCAGTTAGAATTATCTGGATGTAGTAGGAAATACACTAAACATTTAATAAAAAACATATATGATTTAAAATCAGTATACCTATTTAAAAATCAAGTCTTTGTAAATACATCTAAAAATGTACGTGATAAGCTTGAAAACAATAGAGGCAATGTGGTAGATTGCAAAATGCCCACAAAGGCCCTACCATTCCTGTGTGTCACTGCTTTGCAAGCTATAGTTGGCTATGAGTCTTGCCTTAGCCAATGGGCTACTGACAAGCATAATGCAACCACGATTTTAAAAGTGTTTGTACGATAGGGTTTGCCATCCCAGTTGCTACCAAGAACTCTTCCACCACTATGAGTGAACCTGAACCATAGATAAATGCTAAGAAATTGTGGCCATCACCCCCAATGAACGCAGGCGAACAGTCACATATGTGAGTGAGACCATCCTCAATCACCCTATTCAGCCCAGAAGAAATGCTCAATCTACAAAACTGAGAAAAAAAAAATATGATTTTAAACCACAAAGTTTGGGGGTTATTATAGAGCAACAAAAAAGAGGGCTTCTTGCTTAGAATGAATTAAATACATGTGTTTATTTCTATTCCCTAGTAAAATCCTAAAACGCCCTGCAAAAAAAAAAAAAAAGAGTATAAATCCATAAAGATATTGGGAACAGGAACAATGCAATAGCAAATCATAGGAGTACACAAATTTTGAAAAGATGTTGAGAATAATGGTAAGTGACTGAACCAGAGTGGAGGAAGTTACTACCTGAATTCTATGGTGAAAAAGATACCAGCAGGAGGCTCATTAGTCCTACAGAAACTGAGGAATCACTACATGAATATTTGTAGAAAACTGCAGTACTAGTGACTGTGTAGTAAGATGTCAACACTCCTTGCTCCTTCCCTGTCCTAACCAGCCATGCCAGCAACCTGGTTCTCTCACTATAAGAAATAGAAGCACAACTCAGAATATTCTCCACAACTGAAGTGTCTCGAAGTCCCTCGACCATCCCAGAATGAACATCCAGAAAGAATGCTGGTAAATAATAGCAACACTGTGTCTCAGTGAATAGAAAGTATTAGAAAATACACGACAGGGAAAAGAAGACAAACAAATACACAAGGAAGTTGGCAGGGGGAAAATGCACCACAAAAAAGATCAGTCACCAGAAAGCACCAAAGAATTAGAAGAACTGCTCAGCCTACCAGATAGAGAATTCAGAATCATCATGATAAACAAACAAAAAGGTGAGAAGGAAAAAAATGATATGAGCAAGCCATCAAGGAATTAAAGAATGCAAACAAGGAAATGAAAAAGAAAAAAAAGATATGAATGAAAGAAATGAAAAAGAAAAAAAAATATGAGACAAGCAATCAATGGACTGAAAAAAGATGAGACATTAAAAAAGGAAATAGAAGAAAAGCAAGCGATGAAAAGGTCACTAGAAGAGGTAAAGAATGCTGGGGAAAGTAATGAAACAGGATAGATGAAATAGAAGAAAGAATCAGCACCCTCGAAGATACAGAAATAAAGAGAATTAAAAAAGAAAAAGAAAGAGAAGTAAAAAGGAAAAAGAATGAAGAAACACTTCAAGAGCTATCTGACACCATTAGGAAAGGAAATATCAGAGTATAGGTATCCAAGAAGGTGGAGAGAAAGGCCAAGGAATTGAGAAAATATTCAAAGAGATAACAGAAGAGAACTTCTCTAATATGAAGAAGATGAAAGTAGACATCCAAGAAGCAAGAACACTAAACTACCATGGCAACAGAAGAAATACAGCAAGACACATCATAGTAAAACTACCAAGAACACAAGACAAGGAGAGGATAAGGAGAAGGAGAATGACAAGAGGGAAGAAACAAATAACCTATAAAGGCTAACAGACTTCTCTGAAGAAACACTACGGGCACGAAGAGAGTGGAGGGACATACTCAACAAACTCCAAAGCATTAAATGCCAACCAATAATACCCTATCCTGCGAAGCTCTCATTCCTCTACGAAGAAAGAATAAGGACATTTTCAGACAAACAGAAACTCCACAATTTCGTCATGACTAAACCTCACTTCAAAAAATACTACAAGAAGCCCTCAAGCCAAATCCAACAGAAGAATGAACAAGAACAGATCAAAACAGGAATAAAAATACAAAAGGACCAAAAAAAAGAAGGCAAATGTAGGTGCCAGTATATCAATATTATGTCTAAATGTAAATGGCTTAAACTCATCAATAAAAAGATACAGAGTGGCAGGATGGACTGAAAAAGAGAACCCAATGTTCTCCTGCCTACAGGAAACACATCTAACTACAAAAGAAAAAAACAGATTAACAATAAAAGGATGGAAAACAATCCTATAAATAAATGGACCAAAAAAGAAAGCAGGAACAGCTATACTTATGTCAGATCACATAGACTTCAAACTAAAAAAGGTTGAGAGACACAGAAGGCCACTACATTATGATTAAGGGGACAGTACAACAAGAAGACATTACAATCATCAATACATATGCACCAAATGAAGGAGCACCTTCATATCAGAAAACTACTGTCATCTATGAAAACGTGTATCAGAGAAAATACATACATAGTAGGAGACTTCAACACACCACCCTCCACAATGGACAGATCAACAAGACAAAAAATAAGTAAAGACACTAAAGCTCTGAACAAGGACCTAGACAACATGGGTCTAACAGACATCTATAGAATATGCCACCCCAAAATAATGAGTACACATTTTTCTCAAATCCACAAGGATCATTCTCTAGGATTGACTGTATACTGGGTCACAAGATAAGTATCAATAGATACACTAAGATCAAAATCACACCAAGTACTTTCTCTGACTATGAAGGAATTAAATTAGAAATAAACCATGTGAAGAAGGCAAGAAGCCCACCTATATGTGGAGACTGAAACCCATAATACTGGAGGACCATTGGATCAATGAAGAGATCAAAGAAATTTAAAAATACCTTGAGAAGGACAATGATGACACAATACTCCAAAACTTATGGGACACATTAAAAGCATTATAAGAGGAAAATATATATAAAAATATACATATATATAATATATAATAATATTTATATAATAAACTATATATATAGTATATATATTTATATATAATAACATATAAATATATATAATAAAAATACAGCTCACATGAAGAAACAAGAAGTAACTCAAACAACCTAATCTCGCACCTTAAACAACTGGAAAAAGAACAACAAAATAACCCAAAAGACAGGAAATAATAAAAGTCAAATCAGAAATAAATGAAATGGAATTTAGGAAAACAGTCCAAAAATCAATGAAACCAAAAGTTGGTTCTTTGAAAAAATATAGACAGACCACTAGCCAGGCTCACAAAAAACAAACAAACAAACAAACAAACAAACAAACAAACAAACAAACACAGAATCATAAACAAAAGAGGAGAAATCACAACAGATCCAGCAGAAATCTAAAGAATAATCAGAGAATGCTATGAACAACTATATGCAAACGAGTTTGACAATTTGGCAGAAATGGACAAAACCACCCAAAGCTAGGTAAAGAAGAAATAGAACAACTAAACAACCAATTACAAGCAAGGAAATTGAAGCAGTAATCAAAACCCTTCCTAAAAATAAAAGCCCAGGACCAGATGGATTTACAAATGAATTTTACTGAATGTTCGGAAAAGAACTAGTGCCTATTCTACATAGATTCATCCAAAAAATCGAAAAAGGAAAACTATCATGTACTTTCAATGAAGCCAACACCACACTAACACCAAAACCTAACAAAGAAAACTTCAGACCAGTCTCCCTAATGTACACTGATGCAAAAATCCTCAACAAAATCTTAGCCAACAGAATCCAACAATGTATTTAAAGAATGGTACACCAACCATGACCAAGTGGGCTTTATCCCAGGAGCGCAAGGATGGTTCAACATCAGAAAATCAATTAATGTAATACATTACATCAACTGACAGAAGAATAAAAACCATGTAATCATATCAAGAGATGCGGAGAAAGCATCTGACAAAATTCAACACCCATTTATGTTTAAGGCCCTCAAAATCCTTGGAATAGAGGGAACATACCTCAACATGATAAAAGCCATATATGAAAAACCCACAGCCAATATTATCCACAATGGAGAAAAGCTGAAAGCCTTTCCTTTGAGATCAGGAACAAGACAAGGGTTTCCACTGTCACCTCTGCTCTTCAATGGAACATTGGAAGTTCTAGCCAGAGCAGTAAGACAGGAAAAAGACATACAAGGAATCTAAACAGGGAAAGAAGTAAAACTGTCCTTATTTGCAGATGGAAAACCCTAAAAACTCCACAGAGAAACTAATCAAAACCATCAACCAGGTTAGCAAGGTAGCAGGATATAAAATCAACACACAAAAATCAGAGACCTTGCTATACACAAACAACCAATCAGAAGAAACAGAAATTTAAAAACCATCCCCTTTTCAATTAAAACAAAAAGAATCAAATACCTGGGAATCAACCTAACAAAAGAGGTAAAAGACCTCTACAAAGAAAATTACGAAACACTGTTAAAAGAATTACAAGAAGACAACATGAAATGGAAAGACATTCCCTGCTCATGGATCAGGAGAATTAACATCATCAAAATGGCCATCCTGTCAAAAGCAATATATGGATTTAACGCCATCCCAATAAAAATCTCAGTGACATTCTTCAAAGAAATAGAAAAAATATTGTTGAGATTCCTATGGAACAACAAAAGACCTCAAATAGCCAAAATTCTCATGACTAGGAAGAAAGAGAATGGAGACATTACAATCCCAAACTTCAAGCTATACTACAAAGCCATAATAATCAAAACCGCATGGTACTGGAACAAGAACAGGCCAGTGGATTGGGATAAAAAACCCAGATATAAACCCAGAGATTTATGGACAGCTAATCTTTGACAAAGGAGCAAAGAAGATACAATGGAACAAAAAAAGTTTGTTCAGCAAAGAAAGTTTGTTCAGCTGGGAAAACTGGGAAGCTACATGCAAAAAAATGAAACTAGATCACTACCTCTCACCATACACAAAAATCAATTCGAAGTGGATTAAAGACCTAGACATAAGAACGGAAATCATAAAATACCTGGAAGCAAAGATGGGCCAAACACTACACGATATATACTTCAGCAACATCTTTAAAGATAGAGCACCCAATGGCACGATAGTGAAGGCAAGGATAAATAGATGGGACTACATCAAGTTAAAGAACTTCTGTACAGCAAAAGAGACATTACAAAAAACAAACAGACAGCCCACTAATTGGGAAAACATTTTCTCACACAAAACCAGTGATAAAAGATTGATCACCAAAATATACGGAGAACTGATGAAACTCAACAACTCAAAAACCCCATCAAAAAATGGGCAGGGGCCCTCCCTGGTGGCGCAGCGGGTTAAAGCACAGCACTGAGAATCTAAACCCACTTCCGCATGAGTTCGATTCCCGCCTGCCCTGGAGGATCCACATGGCGTGGCAGACCTCTCCTGACCCGCCCGCTGCTCCCCTCAGCAGTGTACTTCATCGATCTGCCTGTCTGCTCCCCACTCTGTCCCTGGTGAATCCTCTCACCCTCCGCATCTCTGGCCTGTACCCCAGTTCTGTATAAATACATAAATAATTCTTTAAAAAA